GAATATTACAAATACTTGGGTATTTTAGGAGAATTTAAAGACATGGGGAATTTGGAAGGTCAAATCAATTTGGAATTCAGGCAATGGTTTCCATTTGCTTATTTCATTAGTGGCAACTCTATGAAGCACATAACGTTGAAAGAAATAATATTAGAGGCTGTACAAACTCCAATTTAAATTGGTATATTATTAAATTCCTATATATTGACCAATATACATGTTCAGGGAATTAAAAATACAAAGAAGCAACTGACAGTACTGCAGAAAATCGAGATGATGGAATAAATTTTAAATTATTCGAATTGAACATTGATAATTTTCATTGAATAATAATTGTACTAATTCAATCAACCGTGGCTCCGTGCACATAGGATACTCTAAATATTATACTCAAAATCATTTGATGTAATTCGTATTCAGATTAGTTAGTTCTTGAAATATCATGGACATAACATACCTATCCATATTCATCTTGAAATTATGAACAGATTAAATATGTTTTTCATATAAAACATCAATCCCGTGGGTTGAAATATTCTTGACTCGTTTGGCAACAGGGGACGTTGGCGGGATTTCTGTCAGTTGGTGAGATGTTATTTTTCGCTTGATCCTGCCGATTGTATCGTTAATTCCGTATTCAGACATCAATGGAAGCAGTTGTTTGTGTATATATCATAGCAATTCAGAGTGTAACCTATGAGTTTATCATTCCCGTGGTAAGTAGTATGACCATTTGATAAACGTTTCTATTTTGATTAATGTTTACCAACCAGTACATCTGACGAAGAAATGAAAAGAAAACATGATCATATTGTGAAGTAATAGTAACATTTTTCAAGACTAAATGGCGAAATCCAACTAAATGAAGTCATGAAGAATTATTGAGATAAAAAAATAGAACGAGAAAGTCGCATAAGAGTCAAAGAAGATCCCATAAGAAGAAATTAACAAAGAGATAACGAACGCCAGAAATAGTTACGACAGAAACAACAGAAAATAAAAAAGCCTATCGATAAATTGACCCCTGAAGAGCAACGTCAGGAACGAAAATGTTGGAATACTAATAGTGTCAGGTATAGGTCCCATAATTTTTAGATGAAAATAAACCACCAGAATCAGACGAAGAGAATATTCCAATGAATGGAGGAAGGATAGTCGTCGGAGTAAATCCGCTAAAAAAGATATGGAGAAACGAATTAGACGGTTAGAAAAAGAAATGGAAGCACGTTCTACAACTTCCAGATCCAGATCAAGCTCGCCGAGGTTCCAAATTAAAATAGTTCATAGCTAACATAGTTTCAGACAATATATTGCGATTTTGCATAGATTAGTCAAAGCAATCAAGCTCAATAAAGTTTCTGTCCTGTAAAAAAACCTGCTTTGCACTACATTGCACTTAGCAGGTATTGTCAGATTGCCGACGATATGGTTTTTGGACTTCTATTGTTTCTTCATATATGTTCCATCAAATAATATTTATTTTCCCCCATGTAGATTTCTATGTCTTCAGAAGTTGAAACACCTGAATTCTTTACTGAACCCAAAAAAGCTCCTACTCCTAATGAACCTTCCTCAGCCCCCACATGTGTTGAGTCTCATGTTGATACGGAAATTATACAGTTGAGACGTTCATTAAAAAAATGAGGGCTAGTGAAGAATATTTGAAACAAATTTTAGCAAATAAAGATGAAACGCTGAAAAATCTCCAGAAAAAAAATGTTCAGCTAAGGAAAGAAAACAGTAAGTTGATTTAGTTGAAGAAAGTAGAAGAGGAGTGCATGAATGATAATGCCACAGCAATTTGTTTAATGGATCAGCTCACTAATTTTGGTAAGCACAGACCTGCTTGGTCAGAAATGACAATTCGAAATTGTATGTTGGGAAAGCAAAATCACCGAAAGGTTATTATTTTGGAAAAGGCTTTCTGAAACTGCAGTCTCGAACTACCTTAGAAAGGTAAATGAAGTTTCAATGAGGAGATAGGTCTCACTGATTTAATAAGAACGCGCTTGGTAACAAAAGCTGAACAACTCATGGACATAGAAAAGGTATGTTCCCTAGTCATTGACGATATGAAAATCAGAGAAAAACTCACCTATGCGAAAGAATACATCTTTTTTTTTTGTCTAGACACCACAACTGACAACCCTATTGGAAATAGACATAATAAAAATTCTATGAATTGACAAACAATATTATTCAGCAAATCCACGACTGTGGGTTCAGAGTTATTAGAATTGTGACAGATAATCATTAATCGAATGTGGCATTGTTTAAGAAATTTGGTAATGGATCTTTGGTAAGTGAGGTAGAACATCCAGAAACTGGAGTAATAGTATCTGGTTTTGTTAAGGGTCTTCACATGTTACAAAAAAATCTCTACCTTTCCTCACTAGGAAGCGGGTAATGCCAACAAATATTAAAAAAATTAATGTTAAAAGGGCTGTTCAACTTTTCTCCCCAAAAGTTTCATCAAGTATTGAGTATCTTGGAAAATATAATCATTCAAACTTTTTGGAATATAATGCTACAATTGAGTATATGTGGAATATGTATACTTATTTCAAGTTACATGACGTCAATGAATTAACCCAACACATACGGCAAAATGATCCATTATCTACACCTTACATGAATTCGAATGATAGTAGGCTTGAGTGGATCAGCAAAGATTAATTGCATTAAAGGTATTCAAAATTAATCCAAAAATGGGGGCGTTAAGGGGTTGAGCAAAGAAACTGCATAAGCAATGATTCTGACAGCAGAAAGTATTGTCATAACTGTTAATTATTTATTGAATAGTGTTTTTATTATGTCATAACCAGAAGTTTGAATTCCGATGCTGTTAAAGCACTTTTCAGCCAACTAAGGCAAGGAGGAGGGCTCCAAGATGCAACTCATGCTCGAGCCGCTTATTACGCTCTGCGACGAATAATAAGGAGTGGCATCATTAAATCGGAAGATGGTGCCAATAAAGCATCTCGAGTATTAAGTGTAGGTCCTATTATTTCTTCGCAACACAAAGAATTTTTAGATTATTCAACATAATTCTATCCGAAGAGATTCTACTCTACTTCAATGAACTTAAAATCTTTCCGATATTAAGATGTATGGAATACCATCTGCTTCAGTGGCAATGATGTCTGGGTATACACTAAACACTATTGAGGAAATGATAAGTTGTTTATTTTGCTTGACCCAGATATCCTCAACCAAAAGTGATAATCTGCTATTTGGTCTAATTCATCTGTGAGATAGGGGTGGACTCAAAAGTCCAAGAAGAGAATTTGTTTACATAATCAATATTTTTCGTAGTGTTGATTGAAGTTTTCGAAATCATACCACGAAATGCGAATCCAAAAAAGTTTTATTACAAATAGTTATCCCACATTTACTGGAATGTGAGATAGGGTTTTGTATGATTCATAAGGAACCCATTTATGATTTGATTATAGAGAAACTTCCAAACCCTCTTCTAGAAAGTGTAAGAAATACTAAAACAGATAATTCGTTCAGCCCATTTCCTATAGATACAAAACCAATATCGAGAAAATAAATCAAATGACTTCATTCATATTTGAAGAAATCAAACCGAAAAGTATTTCTCAATATTAGGAAAATTAAATCAAACTCGAAACTAGCAAATAATTCTCAATATTAGGAAATTAAAATCAAACTCAAATGAAGCATTAGGTACTCATCAAAGAGAAATCTACACATAAAATCTGGAAATGACAGCATTCAGTGAGTAATGAAAATGCAAACTGATAAATTATGTAATTGATTATCCAGGTTATTCCAAAATCACATGAAAAGAATCCAACTGGAGATACCTACTAGGAACAGAAACAGTGGAAATGGCCCCTAAGGGGATTATTGCCTGTGGTTATTGTCATCTTGAGAGGTGAAGAATTTTTGTTGATATTTTTTAAAAACTGTGAGGACATAATGAATTTCTGTACACTCAACTTTTTATGGAAATGTTGAAAATATATCGAGATTTTGATTAGGGGCATGAGAAATAGAAGGGGTCATGGGCACTTTTGCCCCCGAATTGTTTTATGCATTTTTCGGCATTTTTGCCAGGAAATATGAAAAACTTGCTCCTGTTTAGTGTTGGTAGAGTTCACCGTTTTTGAAATGATGCCTTTCATTGCACTCCCGATATTTAAAATCGAAATATGAGTTTTCCTAAAAATTATGATTTGTTGAAGAATGTTAACATCTACTTCCGATGTATCGATCAAATATATCGCGGGTGAAAGAAACATAATAAATTAATGAATAAATATGGTAGGTATCTTATCAAGGAAAAGCACTATTTCCATGCAATGCTTCCAGTCATGATTTAGGAGTTATGCAGCAGAATTTGGAATCGATTCATCTGGAAAACGGTAAATACTATCAAAACTATCAGGAAGTATCATTTTAGAGTAAAAATTTTGAGGTTCCCATATTTCTTGGTCAAACAACCGGATATTGCATAAACATTGAAACTGTTGGGGAAAAAGTGCCAAGTGAAGATATTCAAAAAACATTCTTGGCAAACAGTCATCTATCTTCAGTAATCAGTGCAAAAAATCTTCAATTGAACAAAAATGAGTTTGATTATTTTTTAACCTATGCTGGCATTGTAAATAAACATTGTGAAGCTTTTCAACTCAATAAGCTAGGCGAAAATCGATTTAAATGCCTGATATTCATAATTTTACTGAAATCATCACAACATTCTGATATCACTATTCGCTTTTTATCAAAAACTGACAAAGATGATAGAGACGACATATCTCTGGAAGATTTAGTAGACGATTGTCATAGAATTCTGAGTCTGAAAGATGATACAGCACTCGTTGAACATAAGAATAGATCTGTCCACGCCATTTCGAAGCAAAAGAAAATGAGAAATTAGTTGACCCAGACGACAACAGTGAACTATCGTCAGCTAAAAAATAGCGGATAGAGAATGACACAACAAGTTCTTCAATAAAGCAGGCCTTGGGATGAAGAATATCACCCTTGGAAATCAAATCGCAAATATCATATTTACCTGCTTCAACATCAAAAGGCTGAAAGAAAATGGAACGACAGGGAATGCAGAAAAGAAGGCCAGTGAGAAAAAGAACTTCACCATCACCAGCCTAGGACAGACATATCATGTGGACTACGAAGAAGCAATGACTTTGGTCACTGCATCAGCAACAGCAGCAGGATTGGAATTGAAGAAATTCGATACGAGATCAAAGGAAAACTGGTATGGGACCGCAGCACCCTATCTTGATTTCTTCGTAGGAAATGCTCTTAGGGTCACAGAACTAAGAATAGGACATAACATGCCAATAAAGAAGGAGGGGGACGCATCCACAACATTTGCAGTCAGCAAGTATGGAATGAATGGAAGCCACCACTCCCTACTTGAAGGGTGCACCTATCCTCCTGAAAAACGGGGTTCCATGGCACAATCGTTAGGACCCATGACTGCATTGCTCTGTCACATAAAGTCTGAAGAGAAGTATATGAAGAAGTAGACAGATGCTGCGAAGAGAGCTATGGCACATATCCCTATCATAGATGAAATATTGGATATAGTAAAAGGAAAAACAGCTGCTGAGATAAAAGGATTAATAGGGCTATTAGCTGACACTCTCCTGATAGTAACCTAACCTGGATATGCTTCAAATCATCAATATTTTGGTCAAAGAGACTTATGAAACATAAATCAAAGCTTTTATTGACTTATTATATTTGACAGGGTTATATAACTATTTTTAATACTTATCCGACCTACAAATAGGTGAAGATTTGAAGAATCATGTTTCATCAATTAAACAACCAACATTCGATATTTTTGCTCTCTAGATAAATGTTTGGTTTGGGGTATGACATACCCCAGAACACCAACAATGTAACTTTTTTCCGCCACACTAACGAAGGGTTAATGCCGATTGATTTCGATTTAGCCAGGTTATCGCTCAATTACATTATCATTTCTTCATACAAATTTGACGTTTATCTTGAAAATTTCCGATAATAAGTGATTAGCGAACCCATCTCAATTTTGCAGATCTGTGTAATATTCATTCTGTTTTTTACATTGTTTCGATTCGCTTTGTGAACTGTATTGACATTTTCAATTTGTTGCATGGAAGCTGATTCGAGACAGCATCAAATCAAAATCTTACAAATAGTATCGATGATACAATGGTTTTCGAATATTACCAATCAAACCCAGATTTCACAAGTGCTGAAATCAGAAATGTAAAAGCATCTAGGTATGTATTAGGGCATGATGTAAATATCAAATCATTGAAAGATTTAATTTTTGATATTTTATTGGAGTTAATTTTTAAAATATGAAGGGTAAGGGGCAAAACGGCATCAGTTCATTTTCATGAAAAATTGAGCTCATTGTTTATTTTCATGAAATATCGTAGTACCTATCAGATAATGAATCGTTAAATGGTATAAGTAGCTTAGGTCCGCAAAACAACAGATACGAGATTACCTATACTTGGGAAATGAAAAAACGGCATCAGTCCTTGCCGGCATGAGGACCACGCGCCGACAATGTTTGTTATTGCCAGCCATTAGTTTATTATTGTGTGTTTTGTAGCCTTGTGCGTGTGTTGTTGTATTATAAGAGCATACATTTTGGTAATGATATTAGCTACACCAGTTGAATTATTGTTATAGTGTTATACAGCAAGTACAATGGATAATGACTATCCCTTTCACTGCGGGAACCGGATATCTACGTAAAATAATGTGGTGTCCGTATGGCGGGAACCGGATAAATACGCACTAACTTTTTTGGGTTAACACGCGATTATAGTTGTATTTTGTGCTGCCTATAGATGATACTCTGTCGCTAGCCGAGACGTTTACAAAAAGTTTCAATACCCTGGCGCTTCACTGCGGGAACCGTATCAATCAGCGTAATTTTAACAGGATCGACCTTGGACGTGTTGGTTCTTGAAAACTCGAATTCTTGTTAGTTCGGCTCGGGGCACCAGTACGTTTCGATGTGACATGAAGACTGCACAGTAATCCAGTTTTCTATGGTTTTCGGGGAAACAGTGTTAGTCACATGAAAAAATGGCTCGCAAAACTAAATATTTGAAGGATTAATGAAGTTTTAATGAATAGTGACAGTGATGATGAAGATCGGTGAATCTGACTCAGAAAACGATAGCTCTGACAGTGAAAATGAAGAAAGGGTTTCTAATCAAGAAGCCGAACGTGAAAAAGTATCGCTGGTTGTATCTGAAAATGTTAGCTATGACGATGAATAGATTGTAGCTACCCCATCAAATGCCAAGAAAAACAGAGATCCCACTGTAAAAGTCAAAGGTAAAAAGAGATCGATATCTCACTTGAAAAATGATATCCCTGCCAGTGAACTGAGGAATCAAGTTGTAGCTTCGTCATCAACGGCAAAAAAACGTGCTAAGAATAACAAATTTCAAAATAAAATAGAATTTACTTGGAATAAAGAAAATCTGCAACAAACAGTCCACAATTTTCTTGATATCATATCGGAGTGTCAAGATGAGAACTTGATAAGTGACCCGAATATTTTGAGTAGTTTCAAATCATGTTTTTCATGGGAGTTTCGCGATAAAATTTTTGTTGAAACTAATAAGTTCCACGAATACATTGTAGCAAATGGTGATTTGGAAAAAAAATTCCGTGTCCCAAAGTGGACAGACACAAATGTGGATGAGATGTATTGTTTTTTAGCTGTATCCTTACTCATGCCTCAACTCAAGAAACAGAAGATTAATTCTTATTGGTCGACTGAAACTTTTTTGTCCACACCCATTTTCTCCCGAATCATGCCACGTGATAGATATCTGATTTAATTGCGTATGTTACACTTTGCCGACAGCAATAATATTGACAAAGGCAAACTTTTCATTTGAAGTCCACTTTCAGCAAATGACTGTATCCTTTCAGAAATGTTTGCATCAATGAAAGTTTGATGCTTTTCAAGGGGATTGTCATTCAAACAATTTATACCCTCGAAAAGACACAGTTTTGGAATTAAATTATTCATTTTGTGCGATTGTGAGACTGGGTATATTCTCGATTTCATCATTTATACTGGGTGTACTACCCAAATAACAACCTTCGACGAAGAGTTAGGAATATCTGGAAATATTGTATATACGTTGATGGAGCCCTATTTAAATCATGGGCACACTTTGTATGTCGACAACTGGTACACCAGTAAACTTCTGTTTGCACGGCTACATAATGATAAAACATATGCATGTGGAACGCTGAAAGCAAATCGAAAACACATGCCTCCCATGATGGAAGAACTTAGTAAAGGCCACATAGTTAGCTTCATTGGCCAAAGAGATGAGACTACAAATATGCTGGCACTGAAGTGGCGAGACAAACGAGAAGTTAGAATGCTAACAACCTCTCATTCTAACAATATGAAAGAAAGCGGTAAAAGAACCAAAGAAAATACCCCCATTGTGAAACGAGAATGTGTACTGGAATATAATATCAACATGGGGGCTGTAGATAAAACAGATATGCTCCTCAGTAGCACTAAGTCTGTACGAAAATCTATAAAATGGTATAAAAAGTTTTTCTTCCATTTATTAGACTTGAGTTTGCTGAACGCTCATGTTTTATAGAATATTACCAGTGGAAAAAACATGACAATCACTGATTTTCAATTAGCTATTGTAGAACAAACTATTGCTGAACATCAGAAAATAAAACTCCTTGCATCAACCAGTAGTAAACCCGATGATGGTCATTCAGTATTACGCCTCATTGAGAGACATTTTCCCACAATGTATCAGGCCACCGAAGAAAATAAGAGACCACCATGTAAGCGATCTATTGTATGTGCGAAGCATTAGACTCGGAAAGAAACTCGTTACACGTGTATCGAATGTAATGTGCCTTTATGTGTTGTACCATGTTTTCAACAATATCACACCCTGAAAAATTTTTAACTCTGTCTTTTAGTTTTGTGAGAATAATGTAGTCAACCAGAATAGGTATTTTATTTTTGTAACTTTGGCTTGTTCTTATTATTATTATTATTATTATTATTATTATTATTATTATTATTCTTATTCATTTAAGTCCATGAAATTCCAGTCACGACCCTGCGGCCTCCGACGTCACGCAGAGTCGTGCTGGATAAAATCCAGTGACTACTCCTCACAGCCTGTGAGGTGAGTAATCACTGGGACCAAGTACCGTGTGCCCTGAGTAGACGCAATGATCCAAGTATGACGGCCTTCTGCATACCACCAGCCAGGATGTGTGCCTTATCACGGCACGCTGGGATTTTCTGGATCTCCGAGAGTAGCGTGTGTCGTGTGCCTCCAAGGGAGCCGATAATCAGGATGACCAATTCCACAGAATGGTCTGGATAGAGCCGGCGGAGTTCGTAGAGAAGATCTCGATATTTAGTCCGTTTCTCCTCCTCCTTCAAAACGATGTTCGGTTCGGCTTATTATTATTATTATTATTATTATTATTATTATTATTATAACTTCACCGAATGAGTTGTTTCGATATTCCATTAGGAAATTATGACAGAGTTGACTCCAAGTACCAATCTCATTTTCGAAATGAAATGTTGATCAATATGTAAAAAACAAGCTGAATTAACTTTCTCGTAAATTCCGAATTCCCTAGATAATTCTGGGTACGGCTCTGGATCAATTTATCGGTTCACTGCGGGAACCTTATATGTTCGCGAGATTATTTTTCCACATTACTGCGGGAACCGTGTTGATCAGCACCAGCCCAAAACAGCCGTACAAGAGACCAGAATTCAAAAAAGCTATCCGCAGTGAAAAGGCTATACAGAGTCGAGTGAAAATGAGGCCAGCCTATCAAGCAGAGGAACGAAGAAACGAAAAAAAAAAAAAAAAGACAGGAAGAAGCCGAGATATGAAAACTCTACCTGCCACTACAGATAAATTGGGTCCTGCCTGTTCTTGTGAATGTTTTCGCTGTTTCACTGTTGTTCCAGAACCTGAACGCAATAGAAACCTTCGATAATTCAATAAACAAAATTCGTACCTCAATGGCCTGATCACACTTCTTCCTGTCATGCCCCATTCAGCTATCGTGTTCGACTGATTGAGGATTGAGTTACTCGTGATGTTCCAGATTGCATTAAGGCTTTTTCGTCTTTACATGGAATCACAGGTCGTCGAGCTAGATACGTAAGGGGGTATTTGCTGTTAACTGGGAAATCACCCATCGACATGCGTGGAAAACATAGTACAAGACCTACAGTCCAGAAGACACAAAACAGAAAGTGATCGAGTTCATCAAGAGTCTTAAAGGGCGCCAATCACATAATTCCTTGACAGACTCGAAAAAAATTTATTTGTCTGACCTAAATATCGTCAAATTGCACAAAGTGTATTCTGATCGTAACGCTGATAACGAACTTTCCTACGAAAGTTTCCGAGGAATTTTTGAAAGAAACTTGAATATTTCATTTGGGTATAACATTGAATTCCATCTCGGACGATAATAC